CATGTATAATATTTGCACCCATGTGTTTAGTTGTATTTAAAAAACACTGTATCAGTGTATTTGTCGATTTTGTCTATGTCTTTGACTGGTATTTAAACCATAAATTTTTTCGTTACTTTTTTTTTCTTTTTGATTATTTTGAAACAAAAGAAGAAATACATATATATATACTCAGTTCTTTTTCTTTTTTTTTGCTTTTTTGCTCAAAAAGTTGACTGGAAAAATCAGCTGAAACCAATTTTGGTTGTTGATTGCTTTTTGTTTAGTTCTTTCTCTCCTATATTTTCTTCAGCTTAGTCTTCCTGTTCTTGTTCTTCTACCTCGTCTTCTTCTCTTTCTTCTTCTTCTTTCGCCACTACTAATTTGGAACAGTGACAATAACAACAACAAAATTTTTTATTTACAGTGTTGCTTGTACTTCTTTTGTCTTGATTACCTGAAATATTTGATACCTATTAGTGAGTGATGTATTTGTCAATATGTACAGTAATACTATAGAAACGGAATATTTAACGATCACTAATTTGATCAGTGAAGGAGAAAATATGGAGCGAAAAGTATATATCAATTTGCTCAAAGAAGGAATTCAAAACAAAAATATTAGCGATCAAGTTGGATTCTTTTTTTTTTTCTTTTTTTTTTTTCACATTCGTCTGCTTTGATTTTACAAGTAAATCTAAAGAGTGGACAAAAAACATGTGAAGAAGTTGTCCACTTTTTTCTTGTCATTAATTTAGATGTTCAGCAGCAATTAGTAAAAAAATAAATAGAATGAGAGGGAAGACAGGGATTGGAAATGAAAAAAAGTTGTAAGAAAAAGTTGATGGAGCAGAAGTACTGATAAGGGACACTGAAAAAGTTCAGTTTTAAAATCCAATTTCTATTACAGTTTATTGTTGTTGTTGTTGTTTCATTCATCTGCAGTTATTCATCGGGCTTAGCAACAAGTTAGTTAATTGCCTTAATTGCTTAGGAGCAATTCATGTATTATGGGATAAATTAGTTAAATACCGGAGAAAAATTATTGCTGTTATTTTCTGGAAGGTCTTGAAGAAAAAAAAAATAAATGGACGAAAAAAAATGAAGTAAATTAGCAAACTGTGTAAAGCGATTTGAGTTTTTAGGAGTTTAAAAAAATGAGCAGGTTAAGAGAAATGGAACGGATTGTTGGAACTAATTAAGGCACCTATTCCAAAAATGTATTATTATATTTTGATTGCTGTTTACCTTAGGACACTTGATCAGATGATCATTTATAGAATCAATGAAAAAAACTGTATTAGAATTTAACTTTTTGACACAGTTAGATCAACCTTACCGTTTATACTTTTTTATCATACCTTTTTATCCAACTGCTTATTTTTTTTTTTGCCATACGTTGATCTTTGTTATTTTTACCATTATCTACACCACCCCCACCTCTATCCGCACGCCTACCCACCTAAAAAAAAAAAAAGAAGAAAGAATAAAATTTATTGAACTCTTCGTTTTTCTTTGTGTGTGTGTGTTTGAAATTGTTGCTAATAATAAAATTGCTCAGTAAATATATAAAGCGGATTTTTTTTTGGTTTTGGCACACTAATTCAGAGTCTGCTTAACGGATCAATCAGTTGAAGAGCAATAATGACTGTAGAACTGTTTTAACCTGCAGAGTTTATATTTGCCAGACATATGATCAGTTCAAAATCTTGTGATTTTTTTGTGCCTCTTATTAGTGATAAAAGTTTTTTATGTTTTTCAAGTGAAATATGGTTGAACTTCAAATTAAAAATAGCTACCAGAAATGTATATCAGTTGGTGAAAGAAGAAAAAAAGAGAAAAGTTAAGAAATAATTTTTGACAAATAGTTCAAATTCCAACAGATCTCAAAAGTTTTTTTCATATATAAGAGTTTTTTGGCTTTATTATTATAACAAAAAATGACTGTTTAGAATGAACATCCATACGATTACTTCTAGATTTGCTCGTTACCAAACATTTTATGTTTATTTATAATGGACTAAGCAAAAGATAAAGAAGAGTAGAAAAGGAGTTTCTACTTTTTCTTTCAGTAAACATTAGTTTATTAAACTTAGTATCATCATCATCATCGTCGTCATCATCACAATGGTAGCGGTAATTTTCTCAAGCAACTACCATAGTAGGGGCATTTGGATTGTAAAGCCAACGAAAGCAATTTTCTACAGCTGAATATGTGGTGGGAGAAAGCATAGGGTTACCAAAAAGAAAAAAGAAGTTCTCAACAATTCCAACAAATGGGATAGGGATAAGTGGAATGTGATGGTTAGGAAACAGGGAAGATGATAAATGCCTTGTAAATTTGTATAGATCTATGAGATCTGCTGAATACTGTTTGCCAAAACGAACAACTTGCTAAAAACTTTGATCAAGATCACTGCCAATAAAAAAGAAAATTTTGAATGCAGAATTATTTTGTGAAAATGACAATTTTGAAGGCTAAGAACATGCCTTAGACGATGGAAGTAAAAAGGAGTGCAAAAAGTGAGCTAATTTCAAGGAATAAGCAGAAATAATTCTTCTTTTTTTTTTTTTCGCACAGCTTTAAACGATGATATGTTATTTGGTTGCAAAATTGGCTATAGCTTATTTCATTTGGTTTTAAGACTTAATTTGCATCTCATCGTTGAGTGGTCTTTTTGATATATATATATATATATATATATTTATATATTTTCTAATTCCGTGGATGCTCATAAATGTGTGTTCTTTCTTCGTTTTTTTTTTTTTTATTGCATAGAATTATTCCGATAGTTGTTGGCATAGTTTTTGAGGCAAAAATTTCAATGACATTAGTTTTACTACTCAAAAAAAAAAAAAAAAAAAAAA